GCCACTCCCCATCCCAATGCGTATGAGATGAGAGCGCCTCAATTATTTCTACTTTTGTGGTGGCGGTCTTCTCTGATTGTGGTATTTCGCGTCCCAATCTTTGATTGATTGGATCAATTTCTCCTTCTGTTCCCTGGTCATCCGGGCCCACTCCTCCGGATTCGCTCTCCTGGGTCGAGCCACAGGGCAGCCGGGGGGTCCCATGAAAAACGGCCTTGCATTTGGGTCCATTTGGCCCCTGGTTCTCTGGTTCTGATTCGGTTCTGCTCTGGGTGGGAGTTGCCTCGGTTGAGAACTCACTGATTGGCTCCCTTGTTGTTGGTGTGGAGGGGGCAGAGGGGATGGTATCTGACTTTTCAATCTGTTTCCGGCCTGCCGTCCTAATTCGTTTTTTGACTGCTTAAATTCCCTTGTGCGATCCCACGCCTGCGCTTGTCTGATTTTTTCTGCAGGGGAGAGATTAGGCCACATCGCAGCCATCATTAATCCCCCGGGCAGATCAGCTAAAAGTTTTTCCTGCTGGACCTGTGAAAGCCCTGCGATTGTTCCCAAACACCCAGCTAATGTAACTTTTCCTGTACTGATTTCAGAGCTTAAAGCTTTCCTCCGTCGTTCCCCAGAATCCTCACCGATCCCTCTGGGAGAACTCTCCGCCAGGGACATCAACGAGGCTCCTGGGGTTAAACGCAGATCGTTCTTTAATGCTATAACCTGAGAAATTTCTGGACTTGAAAGTTGTTCAATCGTCATACCTCGATCCTGAAGCCGCTGTACATACCCAGCGTCTGTCTCACCCGATGCTCTTTGTGGCAGAATGGTATGATCAAAATGTCCTAAGCTTACTCTTGACTGTTCCTGAGCAGTTTGCCAATATGGGGAATATTCCTGTTCTAGGATTCTCTCTTTAGGCATTGAATTAAGCTGTCCTCTCTGCGGAGTGCTTCGGTTTACATCCAAAGGTTGGGAGGGGCTGCACGGCGAGTAGCAGTGAGTTTTCACTGCCGAATCTCTAGCCATACATCCACCTCGATAAAAATCATATCCTTGGCCTAAATAAGCATGCTTAAAAGGTTGCCCCCATCCTGGTTGCAACATGACTTCTTCCCTACTTTTTGCTGCTTGAATTGCTGAAGCCGTGAAGCCATCTACAGGGTACCAGTCTGGAAAAGGATTTTCTGCTTCTTCTCCTGCATAATTCTGGTCTCCCTCTGTATTAATTGCAAACTGGCCTCGTCCTGGTTCTGGAACCGGTCTAACTGGGCCTATGTTAGGAGGTGCCTGAGGGTCATAATATTTCATCTGTACTGGACGGCTTTTCTTATTTAGTCCTCTAATGCCATAAACCATAGGATTTGTCTCATCTCCTTTTTCTGCTCTCTGGGGTTGCTGCTCTACATTTTCTCTGTTCTCACCTTGCTCATGGGCTGTAACTGGGGATAACCAACTCACTTTTTCAGGTGTTTTGCCTCCAGGGATCCGAGTGCTGCATTTTTGATGGGATTCGCATTCTGACCTGAGCGTCCCTTTGGGTGTGCCACGCACCACCAGTTGGGAACCCTGTTCTTCCTCCGATTCAGCCTCACTCTCGCTGCTTCTGTCTCTGGCCTCAAACCAATGTTTGACTTTCTTCTCTACTCGCGGCAAGGCTGACTTATCCACTAAAATTACGACCGGGATGTCTCCTAGCCTGCTAGAGGCTTCGGAATAAATCACCAAACCTGCGCCATATGCTTCAGTTATCCGACACACCTGGGGTTTGTTATTAAGCTTAAACACTAGCCGTCGCGCTCCTAAATCCAAGGCTTCTGACACCACCCGCTCCCAAGCTTGGTGAAAAGAGATGTCGGGATTATGAGGGTCTACGTTAATTATGGAAATAGCGCTGACACGACCTTCCAGATTTCCTAATTGCTTGTCTAAGAGAGTAGTAATTTCTCCAGCTTCGTAATTACGATCTACCAGCGGAATCATAGAACTTCTGCATTCTGCCCCTAAAAGTCTCCTCAGAGAACCTAAAGAGGACGTAGTACTGGCAGAACTTTGTGGATCTTTCAGAAAGATCAACACATCTTCTTCTCGGATCTCCGCATCTATTTTCTCGCCTGACAAAATTATCACCGGTTCTTGACCTATCGTAACATGATTCGGAGGAGCCGCGGGACTATGCGGTTCTAACGGGGGAAAAGGAATTGGGTTTGGAGTCCTTTCAGCTCCTGACCGTTTCTGAGTCTCGTCTTTGTCCCACGCAGCAACATGCTGTTCAGTGGGCGGTCTCTCCGCTCCTCTCATGGGCACCTGAGAAGGGGTTTGTACATGTAGAAACGGGTTCCACTGCGCCGGCCGAACCGCGTCAGGCGGGTTCGGTGGGGGTGGAGGAAATCCGCTCTCGGAACCGGGGCTCACAGGGAATTCCCCGCGGAGCGCTGGATACAAAGGGGGCGCGGTCGGAACCGATTGGACTTCATCCCAGGAGTCCGACATTTCAACTGCAGCTCGTCTCCGGTACATTTCCGCTTGGAGCTCCGTGATCCCCAGTCGGTTACATAACGCCTGTCTCATTTGAATTGCCTCATTTTTGCTTCTAGATAAGAAGTAAATTGTTCTACTATTAGCCTGTTGAACCACGAACTCCGCCATAGCAGAGTACATCGCTCCCGGATCACATCGGTACTGCCCGACTCCAAATGGAGTGAGAACTAAAGGTTCCGGTCCAATTGGTATTTGCTCAAGCAATCCCAGAAGAATCTCATACTGCTCGCCCGTGGGGAGTTTCGCTGGATTTTCCCAACAACACCACGCTAGCTGATTAAAAACAGGATCATTTTGTTGTTCTGCTAGAATCACCAAATCACCCACTAACGGAAATACATGATTATTCTTTACTTGAGTTTCAGCATTCGGACAGCGCTCCGCTGCGGCTTGAGCCGTTCCGGCCTTGTTATGAAAACTCCGGTTACAGGATACTGCTAAAACGCTTTGTGGTTCACCTTGAAATGTCGCTATTTCTCCGGTGACAAATCTCACATTAAGGAGAACATTTTCCGGTTTTACCGTTAAAGATCTATCTGCCATGGCTGGTTGAAAGTTTCTCTTTTTTATTATTTGTTTTATTTTTATTCGTTTTCACGTCTTGTTCTTTATTTTTACTCTTTATTCCTTTTTATTTTTTGCCTAGCTTTTATCCTTGGCTTTTCTTACGTCGGAAAGCCGTGATTTCTTTATACCTCTTTGAGTTAATCGTCCGTTCTCCCAAATTTCTTTCCTTTTCGAGAAATTGGTGCGGTTTTCGCTCCAAGGTTATAAGCTTATCAGGTCCATAGTGCGTAAGCTTTTATCAGCCTAAAAGACATAGTTCTACGTCGAATAGTCCGGTATCTAATATTTAAACCTTCGCCGATTAGCCTCACGTTGCAGGCGCCATGTCGTGTGCCCGTCCCATTTACCGGTTCCTTTAAAACCCAGTTCCGTTAGAACTTATGAGACGGTGCATCCATCAGGGTTCGGGGGTGTATCGACGAGTATAATCGTACCAGATCCGGGTTTGGACTACCTAATTAGAATCTTGTCTTTTATTTTAAAGGTGAAATGACTTGCACGAATAGCCAGCCTCAGAGTGCTACACTTCTTTTAAACTCGTTACCTTTTGGTTAAGATACTAGAGAGAAGTCTGGAGGCAAGCCAAGCCTCTCAGCAATTGTTTGGGCTACCCGGAATTAATTGCGCCTCTAACAGCTTATGTGGGAGGTTGTTAACTATAAAATGATTTATGCTAGTTGATCAGGCTAACATAAGTTTATCAATTTATTTATTAATCCAACCTTCCAGCTGATTAGAGACTTTTTCAACCTGCAATCAGAGCCAAAATAACCTCGAATATTTTGCTTTTATCACCCTTAAGACAACTCGTTACTCGCAAGGGGAGAGAAATTAAAACTTCCCTTATCTTAAGGTTTCTTTATATTATTCTGTTATAAACTGTAAAGTAAGTCCTGATAATTCAGAGACCGATCTTCGACATGCTTACCTCTGTGCAATTATGGCCAGGGCTCCAAACGTGAAGCTTTAGAGAAAACCTGAAAGAATCAGGATTATGTTTCTTTTTCAAAAAAGGTTTATTACAAAATCAAAATACAAAAATGGGTAAAGTGAAAAACAACTGCTATCCCCCACGGAGGAATTAGTTCAAAATGAATAAATAAGAGTCAGTTTACACCAGCTCTTGTCTTCTCAGAATCTCCCCAAGAACTGAAGAACAAGACCTCTCTCAAGACCCCCGCTCGATCTGAGCTGCATCCTTTTATATCATTTCTGAGACTGCTCTAAACAATGCAAGAGGCACAAGTCATTCTCTCCTGACAGTTTAGGTCAAGGGGTCATTCACCAGATACACTTTTTTAGCTCTACATAAGACATTTAGTATCATTTCACTACATGCAGTATTCACATGAGGGCACAAAAGTTACATTCTGCACTCCTGGAATGAGAGCACAGGTCATAAATCTTCATATTGGTGGCAAATTGTAGATCTTCTTCCAGCATTCCTGAGAGTTCCTGGGTCCAGCTGGACTTCTCCTCACTCCATGCCATTCCTTCTTTTCCCGCCAGAGGTGGAGTTAGGGGCAGGCCCAGGGGTGTGTCCATGGGTGGATCTAGAGAAGACAGCTTGTCTTTTGACCCTTTGCCTAGTTCTGTCCTCACCAGCAAGTCCTGAACTCCTGTCCTCTTGACCCTTGTGTGACCCTTGTCTCTGACCACTGTTTCTAAGCCTTGACTGGTTGCTCGGGCTTGCAACAGGGGGAGTCAATCGGTGAGTTCAGATGCCTGCCTTATTAAGTTGTGTAGTTTTTAAATGTGCAGAGGGTCTAAAAACTGTGAAAGACCACACTAAATCAATGGCAGCTGATAGTGGTGCGGTTGCAAAGAGCATTGGGCGCTAAGTGGCCTCGTATTACAGAAGGAGTCAGCTGGAAGACAGAAATACCCCTAAAGAGTGTCGGTACCTGATCAGAGTAAAAGAAACCGAGGACTGCTATAGCCAGCTGAGTGAGGAAGACGAGCGTCAGGCAGAAGGAAAACTAAACAGAAGGAAAAGTTACTGACAAGTGACAGATTTGAAGAATTATTTTAGAGTAATGTTAGCCACCAAACGCAGCCCGTGTTCCTAATGTGTGTGTTTGGGCGATTACTGTCTTGAGGAGGTGAATGTTCTCTCTGAGGGCGCCGATGCAGCCGCAGAAAGTGATGAAGAACATGACCACCCCCACCACAATTAGGATGACGGCTGGGTCGATCAGGAACGTGTCCCGCACGGTGTCTGGCAGAAAAATAGAAAAGAAAAAAAGGTTCTAGTGCTGTCCTTTATTCACACCTTTACTTCCTGGTCCAGTTCTCTACCCTCATTTCACATCCAGGACAGCGTTTACACATGTTGCCTCGTCTCCCACTCTTGACAGTTTAAAACCACCAATGATGATTGGATTTCAAAGGATTATGCACAATGCAGAGTTACCATCAGTGGGATTAGTCCCAGGGTAATCTCTTCTGTTCATCATCTAGCACACTGCAGCTAACCACTAAAACATTCTCCCTCTCCTGATAATAACTTTTTGCTTTCCTTGACGTTGGATGTGCTACTACTAGTTCATCCGTTTAATTATAGATCCACTAGGATAAATACAATAAAGTTTATCTTTCACCAAATACAATATTTACTAAGAAATCACAATATAACTATAGACACATTACTTTGTCTTTGTGTGTGTGCGTGTGTGTGTCTGCTCTGTCTTCTCGATCCCCAGCGAGTCGTGGAGGATGGCTGCTTACACTGAGCCAGGATTCTCTGGAGGTTTCTTCCTGTTAAAAGGGAGTTTTCCTCTCCACTGTCGCTATATGCTTGCTTAGTATGAGGTAGGGCTGCTCAATTAATCGAATTTTAATCACGATTACGATCTGAGTTTTGAACGATTATAAAAAACATAACAAGCCGATTATTTGCTCCTCCCGCTTGCGCTGCCCTAAGTTACAAATGAAGCGCTCCTCCACAGTGTTGCCAACTTAGCGACTTTGACGCTATTTCTAGCAGCTTTTCAGACCCCCTTCTTGACTTTTTAATCCTAAAAGTACCTAGCGAACATCTCAGAAACATTTCTGGTAACCCTTAGCTACTTTCTGGATAACTGTCGTCGACATTTCCTGCAGGTTAGCTAAACACTCCGCCTGTGCTCCGGACCGTTCTTCACAACATTAGGAAAGGGAATGATGCAGTGATGTGTCAGTCGCTAAAGACAGCTCTCGGAGCCGGCTCCTTGTTGGATTAACCAGAGTGAGTGACACACACACCGCACCTGCGGTCTCCTGAGCAGCTAAAAACAGCTAAATGTGCGCGTGCGGCGTGCTAAACACACGTGCAGCTTGCCCGATTGCTGTGAGACCGGGGTGGGGGGTGCAGCTGTGGTTGGGACAATTATTACATTAACTGATGGGCCTGTAAATAAATAGTTTATAAATAAGGTAGAAATAAGTTCCTCACGCTGATAACTAATCTCTCTGAGGACACGGTGCTACAGCACCTTGACACGACTCAATAAATGTTATGTAACATTTTGTGAACATCAATTTATTTGCATTTATTTGTTATAAATGCCACTGTATAATTCTTGCTGTCAGTATTTGCAAGATATTGGTATTTGGGTCTGTACTGGTTAGACTCAAGGTCTATAGCCCTTGGGTCATAGACTATGAGCTATAAGTATATTGGTCTTTTTATCCTGGGAATCAGGAGTTCTTTTAGTGATCATCTTGTTTCTTATTTTTGTCCTGATTGTGCCCTGAGCAGTTTTATGACTGAATAAAAACAAATAAAATCAACATAAATTGAAAAATCGTCCTAAATAATCGTGATCTCAATTTCAGTCACCATAATCGTGATTATTATTTTTGCCATAATCGAGCAGCCCTAGTATGAGGATTGCTGTATAGTCACTGACACTAGTCAGTGACTTGATGCAATTTGCTGGGTTCCTTATATAGGAAACATTATTTCTGATTGGCTTAATGAACTGACCTGAATTGGAATGTTTATTATGTGAAGTGCCTTGAGACGACTCTTGTTGTGATTTGGCGCTATATAAATAAAATTGAATTGAATTCAATTGAATTGAATTGTTCATCCATAAACTCCATATATCAGGAAATTAAAAATGAGAAATGAGACGACCCAAAAACACCTGCATGAGACTACAGCTATATTATTCACTGTGAAAATAAGAGCTAAACCCCCTGTGTAATAAACAGAAATTCTTTATTTTGCTGTAATACAAATGAATAGTATTCTAAATGATTTTCCTGATGGGGAGCGTGTAAGTACCTGTAGCTTTTTGGACTTTAGCATACACCCCGATTCCAACGATCAGCAATGAGAAAACCTGCAGGAAGATAGAAGTTGTTTTTCATACGGAGGTAAAAGCTGGCACACTGATTCTTTTAATTACTCTCATGGCTGCTAAAGCTGTCACCAGAGCTGCTTGACAATTTCAAAATCAGGTACTTATAAACTGGCAAAAGGGTTGCTGAATGAGAACATGGAGAATGAGCCAACACTTGGCTGCAGACTAGAGGAAATCTTTACGTCCTGTTTGTCTACGTTCAGTTAAAACTGATGTTGTTTAGGTAATATTAAATTAGTGATAAGAAACCTCCTTTCTTATGCTTTGCTGCATCGTCCTGTCTGCAGCATTCTGAGTTTTCACAGGATTTCTGCTTCTGCACTGGTTTTCTCCGGCATGTCAGGTTTATTGGGCCATAAATGTGAGCGCGCATGGTTGTATGTCTCTATGCATTAGGCTTGTCTGTGTCAGCCCTCTAGTGCACCCGTGCAAAACAAGATGGAGAAGCTGCATAACATTTTTCACTAAAGTCTCTCCTTCTCAGGCAAGAGGAGTTAAAGTTAAAAGGAAACTTAGCTGGATAATAACAAACTTGATAAAAGAACTGTTTCCACCAAGGATTTAACCTCTTTCCACAGTTGCCTCTGACAGAGCGCCCGAGTGCATGAGACTAGGGCTGCAACAAACGATTATTTGGATAATCGATTAATCAGATAGGGTCTCGACACGATTAATCGATTAATCGGATTCAGGGGTGGACATTAACTTCAAAACCAACCGGCCAGCCGGGCCGGTAACTCTGAATATTTACCGGCCCCGCCAAGAATCTACCGGCCCCGCTGGTCAGCTGCCAAAACGAGTCAAAATAACAACTGAACCATTTTAAATGTAATAAACCTTTATTTTGTACACATTCACAAACATAATAACGTATTCAAGTTTGAATTTGTTTGTTCCCTCAACAAAACTTGATTTTGTCGTTGCATACTTCTGGCATACAACGCAGTACATCACCAACTCCGCTTTGCTGTACTCGAGCCATTGGCTGTGTTCGAGATAAGCCACTTCTGCGCAGATTAGACCAGCAGTGATCGGCGAGCAGTGCATGCCGGTTAGATTTGTGTCCGAATTGACGCCGACTTGCTCTGACGTCATGCATACGTAGACAACGATAACCTCGTGAGATCAAGGCGGCCGCAAATTTTGGAGCAAGGCGCTGCAGTTGCTCTCCACCGGCTGCAAAACCTAGAGGATGACGGGAAACGCCTGGCTCTCACCTGATCTAAGATCTGATTGGTTCATATTTTGATCCAAACATCCGGTGGTAGAACATGAAATGTTAGTTGTTCACATGTATTCTGTAAGTCATGTTATGTTGATGATGACAACTATATAGGCCAGAGGAAAAGATAGAGAGGAAATGGAGGACAGGTAGTTAAAAGAAAAACTACAGCTGAGCCGAGGCGCGCCTCGAATGGGGCGCGTCTGATCTGAACTGAGCAGCGGCCGGATTTTGTGAGCAATTCGCTTCTCGGGGCTTCGGGCGCTTCCGCGGCCGGTGTGTCCCCGGCGAAACGCCGGCTTTCAGCCACTCCCCCCGCTGCTTCCGTCTTCTCTCGCCTGTTTTCCAGGCGATGCGCTGCTCAACTCGAACACGGCCATTCTCTGCGCCTCCCGTCTTCTTTAAACCACCAAGTCGTTCCACCTACGCACACGCTTCTCTGCTTCATACCGTTTCGAACGGTCTCGCTTCTCATCACCAGTTTTAAAGTGTTTTGCCGGAGATTTCATCAAGAAATCCCATCCCTGTGGTGGCGCGATCTCCCTGCGTGCTTATGTGTTTCTAGCGTGGTTCCACTTCGTCTTTAACAGTGAACTTATAGTTCACGTGACTATAACTAGAATGTGCAGTACGTGCACGAATCGTACAAGTGCAGTACGTGCCGGCTAGAGGCGCGCAGGTTCACGCGCGCGAAACGAAAACGGCGGCTTCCTAGGGCGGGGCCATGATGTAGGTGAAAGCCGGTGTGTAAATGACAAATAAGGCTTGGGCGCCACGCAGGCGGTAAGTCGTCAAGTATTTACCGCCCGACGAGAAAATTTAGCGCCATTGGCGCTCGGGCGCTTTAAAGGTCCACCCCTGGGATTACATGGGGAAATTTTTAAAAACTGCTAGGGAAACGTTATTTCTCTCCTTCCTTCACTTTATTTAACACAACATTATTAGAAAACAGTTCAATAGCAGAAAAACAACATGCCATCACCTAAATTATCTTATAAGGTGTATAGACAGAGACCCTAAGCTACATCTATCTGTGACCTAAAATGCTTGGTCCAAGTTAAACAGCTTAAGGGCAATTCTCATCTGTTTTGTTTGATCTCATCTGTTGACATTTATTATAACTGGGGATGTCAAACAACTAATTTTTAAATGTAATTAAACATAGGCTTTGAATTAATCAAAATTGATCACTATTTCCAAAAATGACTGAAAAAATAAGTTGTCCCACACTCCATGGAAACTTTCAGAGAATCCACAAATAGTGGCTTTCAAATGGTTTTGTTACTTTCTGCAAGTTTAGAAAAGAAGCAGATGAGACAGCATGTCTGATAATTTAGTTTTTCATCTGATAATATTAGAACATGTCAGTAATGTCTGAGGGGCCTTTATAAACACTGTATAACTAACACTACTGGAGAGGGTATGAATTACACTGAGGCTTCTGGGGAGCCCAGTTATGGGGGGGTGGGGGGGGGCATTTTGCCTTGGCCCCCAAAATGTCTTGAAACGGCCCTGGGTGTGTGACTGAGTGTTGAAGGTGACCTGAATAGTATCAAATTTATAAATATTACATGTGTGTAACTTATTGTTTTATAGGTAAAAACGTGTAGTGGAGATAAATCTACATTTTACTTTTCAACACTTTGTTTTGTTTTCTTGTTTTTATTTAACTATTTTCCTGTCCTGTCTGTCTCTCATCTTCCTGCATCTCCTCTTAATTCTCCAGAAAAACTGCTGCCTGGATTCTTACTTTTTCACCTCATCAGTTACTTCTGAGCAGATCAAAGGGATCTCCTGACCACAAAGCGCAGAGCGCGTTTTCGATGCTGCGTCAGTGAGGTGAAATCACCGCAGCACAGGTGATGAGCTCCGCAGTAGCGCGCTTCAGGCACAAATAAGACAGAAAATAGAGAACATGTGCAGACATGAACGATCGTGTGCTAATTATAGTTTTTTGGTTGCGCCACTTTGAGAATGGACCGTGCGCTGGAAGCAGCTGCCTGGATCGTTGCGCAACAATGCGCTGTGCCGCTCTCTGCTCAAGAGAGTCCAAAAATGATATAATATAGAAAACTTTTTTCCGGTTCCCCTGGATGTGTAGGATATACAGCTCCCCCATAATTCGATCCCTGCTCCTGGATGAAAAGCCGGACATTTTCATCAATACAAGAACCCGCAGTCCGGACGCGCCGGACAGAGAGTGAAAAGTGGACACGTCCGGGGAAAACGGAACGTACGGTCACCATAGTCCTCATAAAGCGGGAAATTATAGATACAGTATTGTGCTCGTGCCCTGGGCCCTTTAGAGTCCGTGGGCCCTGGGCAATTGCCCAGTTAATCCGGCCTTGGAACCGGTTCGCAGCAGCGCGAGTCCCCCCGCTCATCTAATAAGCGTCGCGCTCACGACTTTAGACTCTTTTTTTACGAGCTTAGGGCATGTCTAGCCTGTGTAATAATCCGGGACTTGGATGAATCACTTTTGAAAAGTTTTTAATTTACCCGGACACAGAGTTCTCTCCTTCCTCGCTGATGATCCCGACATGCTTGCGTTTAAGACGCTGCATCATCCCGTGCCATGCTAAGTCTGACCTAAACGTTGCAGGTAACGCATGTCTTCGCCTGATTTAACTGAAAATGCTCCCAAACTTAAAAAGTTTTTACTTTTTTGACTCTCACTGCTTCTGCCATGTTCCTCTTCCAAACAACTGCCGGCTCTCCCTCGCGCTGATCTGTCTGCGCGCAACGGCGGGCGGGAAGGGGGGGGCGCGCTTTTGGAAGAGTTGTGCGACACAACGAATCGATGACGCAATTCGTTGCCAACGCTTTTAGTAATCGATTTTCATCGAATTTATCGATTCGTTGTTGCAGCCCTACATGAGACAGCCTCAAGGTCATGCATTTGCTTCTAAACTGTTTACTTTCCAGCAAAAGAAGAAAGAAGATTAAAAGTCTCTTTTCTTTCATTAAATCAAAGAACTCTAAAGCTAATCAAAACAACTGTTAGTCAATAATACAATGTGACCTATCTGTAAAATCACAATGTCATGATTAATATGTTTTAATAAGTAAATGACTTAATCTAGTCCACTAGACACACTGACACGCGTAAGGTAAACAATCGCTGATCTAATCAGAACCTTCCTAGTCTGAAGCGTGGCATAGTCTCTGTGGCGTTTATAAATCTGCTAGCTTTGATTCGACCAGGAATCAAAACATCCAGATTAATAAAACCAGTTCCAACGCCATCTTAAGTTCAGTCCTCAAGATCTCACAGAGTTCACCGCATGCTAAGCGAAGTAATCGGACCGGCCATCCGGACTTCCCTTTTTAAGCTGAGAACCAACAAGCTGGAAAAATCTTTTTACCAACCAAGCAACGGTTCCTTTCAGAATAAAAGCTGAACTCACTGTCCCGAGGAGGGTCACCTTTTGACGCTGTGAACCACTTGTCGCTTTTTGCCTGGAGACAATCCAAGGACTAGTTTGTCGTGCTGTGACGCTGTACTACTGGCTCCAGTACCAAAAGGAGGGTCTGTGGACCTGACATTCTGGATCCGTGAAGGAGGTCTCATTCTAAGGGTATGTGTGGATGCGACAATATGGCGTCTCGTGTGTTTATGACTACTCCGGTCAAACTCTGATCAGTTAGAAGCAAAACATCATCCCACTCAGACTTGCCTCTCCGGATACGAGAGTTCTGAATAACACTCATTTACACACACCATCCATCTCACACCTCATTCAAACAGAACATCCAT